TGATATATTGAATAATTGTAAGGTGAACATGTCTGGCTGACAGGATTTATCTGACCATGATCTTATTGCCATGGATATTTGAAAAAGTTAAGTTTATATGATACTTGTAGTAAATCCTTTAAGACTTTCAAAATAAATTCCATGGTCAGTAAAGCAGGCGAGACATTTCAGCGTGTACACTCTTGATTAAGAATATTTTTTTAAATCATTGTAGTTTTACTGCTATCTCATATGCTAATACAAGCAGTTGCAAATATCTGTATTTGCAGAAGTTGCTGCTAAAACTGCACTCAAAATGGAAATCAGAAACCGGAACCCGATTGAAAATTAATATACAAAGCAAATAAAAAAAAAGTCGAGAATCAATGAAAAATGAAAAATGCAGAAAACTGACATTAAAGCTTAAACAATACAAACTACCATTTTAAAGCAATTACATTAAACGCCACGTTTGATAGGATGACGTCTACCGTCAATCCCACGCTTGATTGAATGACGGCAGCCGACAATCCCTTGCTTGATTGGATGACGTCTGTTAACAATTCCACGGTTGAAGATCGGAGTCATTGTCCACAACGTTGCACAATCCTAGTCGAATTTTTAAAATACTTATATATTTCAAATGTTTTATTCTAAACATTTTCACGAGTCTTCCATTGGAATAGGAATAGCAGTACTGTATTTGAATTCTGATTGCAATCGTTATTTTAAACCGAATTATATCAGGTGCTCTGGAGTGGTATGTGCATATCCTGCTTTGCATCGGGCACCGGCGGTCTTACTAGTCAAGTTAAATAATGGTTTGATACTTAACGGAATGAAATTGTTCTGCAGGAAAACTGTCAAACGGTTTCAATATAGATGCTATCAAAGATATCAGACTAAGGTACATTTATGTTTCCAATAGTTTCACAACTTCATTTGCCAAAACTTATATTTCTATTTCTCATTAAATATCAATTCCAATGTTTTTTATTCAAATCAAAATGTCAACAGAATTCGATAATTGAAACAATTAACACTCGGATTTAGATAATTTTAGTCTCTTACAATTTATTTGCTGAAAATGGGGACAACTGGTTATTAGTATCCCTCTGATTATTCTCTATCTACCATTTGAGGAATTCCTAGACGGATTATATCAATGGATATTGCAAAATAAAGATTCGGTTCGTGTTTTTAATTTGCAGTTCCGTTATAATCATGTAAGTATTGTTTTAAACTGTATATCTAACGAAATTATCGTACGTCATCCTGTAAAACTCTTTTTCTTAGTATTTAAATGTTACAGTACGCGTATGTATACCTGATACAGTTGATTTTCTTTTCAAGTGTCTTTATAAAAAATAGAAGATGTAGTATGTTTGCGAATGAGACAACTCTCCACTAGAGACCAAATGAGGTGGAAGTTAGCAAGTATAGGTCATCGTACGGCCTTCAATTATGAACAAAAGCAAGCTATAAAGGCCTCGAAATGTCTTTCTTTAAATGTTATATGTTTGTCATTAAACTGTGTATCACCAAATAATTATAGATATTGTCTAACAAAGAATTATACACTATTTCCCAACGAAAAGACGATCTTTAATGCGCTTACCATTTCGTGATGCACCGTGTGATAGATGCATGCAAATATTATGATTTTGTTTTGCTCTGTGTTAAACTAAGATTCTTGAAAAATAAAATATGTCCAGAACTATTAACTCGAATCCTGCTTTGGGTGTCTAGAACAATATGAAAACTGAATCCCACATTGTGAATTTGCGGACGCAATAAACTTGAAATGTCCCATTTTTAGCTTTTCTCATCACTTGGCACCCGTCGGCCGTCGTCCATCGTCTGTCGTCGTCGTCGTTAGCTTTTATAAAAATCTTCTCCTCTAAAATTACTGAGGCAATTTCAATCAAACTTGGACACAATCATCATTAAGGTATGTTGTTAAAAAATGTGTCCGATGACCCCGCCTGCCATCCAATATGGCCGGGATGGCAAAAAATAGAACATAGGGGTAGAAACAATATTTGTCAATTATCTTGATTGATTAATTGGTGTTTAACGCCATTTTCAACACTATTTTGCTATTTCGTGGCAGTCAGTTTTTATTGGTGGAGGAAGCCGGAACGCCCGGAGAGAACCACCGACCTACGGTAGGAAAACTGACAATACTAGTCAATTATGATTGGTGTCGAGTTCACCTGCCCCGTGAAGGAGTCGAACTCACAACCTCAGTGTTGACAGGCTAGTGATACAGTAGTCACTCGGCCACCGAGGACCCTCAATTATCTTGAAAACCGCTATGTATAGAGAAAATCTGATAGAGGCAGAAATGTTCAGAATAATGAGATCTACCTGCTGTCTTTTTACATCAAAATTGTCAGACGACTTCTTATGGGAGTTATTGCCTTTAAATAATTTTTACATATTATTCTGAAACTATAATAGATAGAAAGAAACTTTGATTAGGAAAATTTATCAGAAAAACAAGATCTACATATAAGTCAACATGGCCGAAATCGTCGGTTGACTTCTGATTGGAGTTATTGCCCTGTAATGACGACTTTTCCCATTTTTTTGTGTTTTTGATTGATATCTTAAAAAAATCTTCTCCTCTGAAACTACTGGGCCCATGGCCAATTTCAACCACACTTGGCCACAATCAATATTAGTGTTTCTAGTTTAAAAAATGTTTCCGATGATCGCGCCTGCCGACAAACATGGCCGACATGGCTAGAAATAGAACATAGGGGTTAAAGCAATATTTGTCTATTTTCTTGAAAGCTACAACAAATAGAGAAAATCTGAAAGGTTCAAAATGTTCAAAATGCTAAGATTTACATAATGTTTATGTCAGACGACTGCTACTAGGAGTTATTGCCCTTAAACAACGAATTTTACCATTTTTTTGGCATTTTTGTCTATTACAAAATGTATCTAAAAAATTACAATAGATAGACAGAAACTTTGAATAGCAAAAATGATCAGCAAGACAAGATCTACAAATAAGTCAGCATGAACGAAATCGTAAGTCGACTCCTTTTTGAAGTTATTCCCCTTTAATGACGATTTTTCCCAATTTTTGCATTTTTGCCTATTATCCTGAAGGCTATAATGAAAAAAAAAAACTTTGTAGATTTAAAATTATCAGCAGGATAAGATCTTCAAACACGTCAACATAACTGAAATTGTCAGTTAACACTTAATAGAGTTATTCCCTTTTATCGATGATTTTGACTTTAAAAATATGTCCATTGTTGAAGGGTAGCAAGTCATTTCGTACCTTGACAACTTCGTATCTTTGCCATTTCGTACCCAACATTACCATTTCGTACCCAATATTTACCATTTCGTACCCACGATATAAACCATTTCGTACCCACGATATAAACCATTTCGTACCCTATGGGCCAAATGCATCTACCATTTCGTACCTCATGGACTAGATACATGTTTACTATTTCGTATCATATATTTGTAAAAGTTATCATTTTTTTTAAGATATAAAACATTTTGATTTTTTTTAAAATATAATATAAATAAAATGCATCCAGCCGTAGAAATGTTATAAAGACCGATGATTGGTTTGATTAAGCAGCACTTGGAAACTTTAATAGTTTTAATTACACTTTGTTTGTTTGCAGGATTTATCCTGAATTAATTGTTCAACTCTAAAAATATGAGGTTAATTAACCAACAAAGGAATAATTATCTGCAACTGTTATATATATATATATATATATATAACTATAGTTATTACCAGTTGTTTTCGTCGGGAAATGCAGTGAAAAGGGACACAAGCTGATTATTCACCCAAAAGGAAACCACGAATAAAAATGTTTGCATAAGAAATTGCACCTTTTGTGACCAATCAAAGAACTTGCTATGGCTTTTTCAATTTGAGAAATTGCATCTTCATTTATTTTGTATCCGTATATCTGACCTTCTAAATTTCAAAAACGTTTGGTAAACATCTTTTTTTCGTGTGTATTGCATGTTTTCTAGTGTATACAAAAGTAACAAAATCAATGTAATCGGCAGAAAAGTGAACTGTTACTAAAGCGCCAGCTAATATTTGAAATTAATATTTTAACTACAAAGTTTTACAGATTTCAAAGAATTCCGTTTATTGACTTTATTCCTATATGTATATGTCTCATAAGTGCTTTAATTTTAAATTTTAGACAATTCTCGTGACCTCTACCGCCTTACAGTAAAAGGTCAACGAGACTGTTTTAACCAAGAAATAAAACACATATAAATCGTCCACGAGGTACGAAATGGCATACATACAAACCTTCCATGAGGTACGAAATAGTATACATACAAATCTTCCATGAGGTACGAAATGGCATACATACAAATCTTCCATGAGGTACGAAATGGTATACATATAAATCTTACATAAGGTACGAAATTGCGCACATCAATGAGACAGTTTTTACCAAGAAATGAAACACTAATAAATCTTCCATGAAGTACGAAATGGTATACATACAAATCTTCCATGAGGTACGAAATGGTATACATATAAATATTCCATGAGGTACGAAATGGTCAAGGTACGAAATGGTCAAGGTACGAAATGGTTAGGGTACGAAATGACTATAATTCTGTTGAAGATGCAGGCGAGCGACACAGGCTCTTTAAAAATAAAAATTATCACGAAGAGTGTGGAATCTGAGTCGCGCAGTTGTTTTAAACGGTATTTTAATTCTATATCGGGTAAAACTGACACAAATATCATGCTCTACTGTTGGATAGCTGGAGGTTTGTGTATCCATAGTGTTTTGTCTTCTTGAAGCAAAATTATTATATTTTACTTAAATATGTTCTTGCATGGTATTAATATATTTTGTAAGTTATAAAAACTATCTGAAATTCATAATTGTACACTTACAAAAATTGATGGGAATTATGACTGCTCACAATTATGTCTTTTTTAATTACACTACTTCTGCGTTCTTATTTAAATCCAAAATTATGCAGAAAATACTCCAAAAAGATTGAATCTATATAATAATTTATTTAATGTAACAAAATGCTATCAATATACTTGTGTGATCATGCAAAAGTTAGTAACAGCACAACCAATGTTATAAACAATAGGATCACGATAACAGCAATGAATTTTGTCCCTCGGTCTGCGGCCTCGCGTAATGATGCTTGTTCCTTTTCATTATGTATCAGTCTACCATCGTGGGCATCTGTCTGCTCCAGGTCTGTCGGTTCCTGAAAAATACATACCATAATTGCAATCCATTGTAATTGTTTACGATATAATCAAAATTTATAAAAACAATATCTTTGATCATTGTGTAATATTTGCTTTGTAGCAGACAGTTGTAAGTTATAAAGTTTCAGTTTGTAGGGAATAATTATATTTTATAGATATTCAAATATTAATTTTACAGTAAATTGTCTCGAGAGTACCAGGTGAAGGATAATCATAAACACACATGTGTTGTGCATGGTATTCATATTGACATGTTTGTTATATAAGGTATTATCATCTTAGATACGCCCGTTGCAAGGTAGTTTCAGATTCAATGTATAACTTTGGGAAGTGTAAACGATACTTTGTTTCGAGTCTTACTTTCAAAGTTTCAAGCATTCAATGTCTGCAATTTAAACAAATATCAATTTCAGGAACAGCATTTCCACGTCTTTAATCTTTTTTTTAACCTTAAAACAGGTACATAAGGGTATGTTCTTTTTCGATACTTTTTACATTTCATGCAACTCTTATTCAGAATTCCTTATGGTGTATAATCCAGAAATGCACCTTCGACGTTTAAGAAATAATATACCGGTATATGATTTTCATGTACAGTGGCGGATCCAGAACTTTTTGTAAGGGGGGGGGGGGGGGCGCTGAATGACCTAAGGGTGGGGGGGGGGGGGTGTCCGCTCCAGTCACGCTTCAGTGATTCCCTATATAATCAACAATTTTTTTTCCCACGAAAGGGGGGGGGGGCTGGATCCGCCTATGATGTAGTACCATATGCAATGCTGGTGAACAGATAATCCGCGCACATTCTGGGATATTTTTGCCGATCTAGTAAATGATTTTGTACCATTTGGTTAAACAAAGATCAAACATTACTTAAGATAATTTTGTTTATTCTCTATATTTTCTTCTTGTATTCCTGTAATTGTTTATGATTTTTTTTTGTTATCAACATTTATGTATGTTGAAGTTTAATCCAGGAAAATAGATATAAGAAGATGTGGTATGAGTGCCAATGAGACAACTCTCCATCCAAGTCAAAATTTGTAAAAGTAAACCATTACAGGTCAAAGTACGGTCTTCAACACGGAGCCTTGGCTCACACCGAACAGCAAGCTATAAAGGGCCCCAAAAATTACTAGTGTAAAACCATTCAAACGGGAAAACCAACGGTCTAATCTATATAAAAAACGAGAAACGAGAAACACTTATGAACCACATCAACAAACGACAGCTACTGAACATCAGATTCCTGACTTAGGACAGGTGCAAACAATTGCAGCGGGTTTAAACGTTTTAATGGTACCAAACCTTCACCCTTATCTGAAATAATAGTGTAAAGACTTCTTAATTAATGAAAAAACGGTTCACGTAATATTCCTTTTCTATATTTTGATGTTAAGATAAATTATTTAGTAAATCGTCCCAATTCCAATAAAATATCATTTAGAAATCTAATACTTAACATCCTTGATTGAAGAAAAAAAACAGTCAAAATTTTAAGCTTAAAAATGCATACTATAAAAATAAGGAGATGTGGTATGATTGCCAATGAGACAAATATCCACCAAAGTTCAAATGAAGTGGATGTAAGCAATTATAGTCAACCGCACGGCTTTCAACAATGAGAAAAACCCATACCGTATGGTCGGCTATAAAAGGCCCCGACATGAAATTGTTAACAATTTGATAGTGAATTATGATCATAATAACAGGTCTCACCATATTCCGAAAGTGTAAAAATGGCCATGGTAATGAAAAATATTCCTACCTACCTACCCTATTTTTCTTACGGAGGAAATCCTTAAAACGCATCTATTTTGTTTGGCCTAATTAGTACGAAGTAGTAATCGTTTTGAGTTTCATAACATGTGAAAAGTAATGTGGGATATGTATTCATATGAAAGAATGTCTGTCCCGTATATACCGAAAATAGACAGTGTTGAATATCATGGGCGGTTTTTTGTCGAGCCTGCGACTTCTGTCGCAGAAAGCGAGACATAGGGATAGTGATCCGGCGGCGGCGACCACGGCGGCGTTAGCTTACTACGTCAAAGCTTAATATTTCAAAAGGTAAAAGACCTGGATGCTTCATACTTTCTATATAGATGCCTCATGATATGAAGTTTCAGTTTGTCATATGTCCATTGTCCTTGACCTCGTTTTCATGGTTCGGTGACTACTTGAAAAAAAATTAAGATTTTTTGTAATGTTAATTTCTCTCTAATTATTATGAGTAATAATATAACTATATTTGGTATGTGCGTACTTTGCAAGGTCCTCATGCCTGTCCGTCAGTTTTCATTTGACCTCGACCTCATTTCATAGATCAGTGAACAAGGTTAAGTTTTCGTGGACAAGTCCATATCTTAGATACTATAAGCAATAGGTCTACTATATTTGGTGTATGGATGGATTGTAAGGTGTACATGTCCAACTGGTAGGTGTCATCTACCCTTGACCTCATGTTCATGGTTCAGTGGTCAAAGTTAAGTTTTTGTGTTTTGGTCTGGGTTTTTTTTCTAATACTGTATGCAATATGTCTACTATATTTGGTGGATGGAAATATTGTATGATGTACATGTCAGTCTGACAGGTTTTATTTGACCTTGACCTCATTTTTACGGTTCATGGCTCAATGTTTAGTGTTTGTGGTTTGGTCTGCTTTTCTTTAACTATAAGCAATAGGTCAATTATATTTGATATGATTGTAAGGTGTATATGTCTGTCTGGCAGATATCATCGGAACTTGACCTCATTTTCATGGTTCATTGGTCAATGTTAAGTTGTCCTGGTAAAGTTTGTTTCTTAGATACTATAAGCAATATTTCAACTATATTTGATCCATTGAATGATTGATTTCAAAGTGTACATGTCTCTCTGGCAGGATTCGTCTGACCTTGGCCTCATTTTCATGGTTCATTGGTCAATATAAAGTTTTCATGGTTTGGTCTGTTTCTCGTATACTATAAGCAATAGGTCAACTATATTCGGTGTATAGAATGATTGTAAGGTGTACATGTATTTTCGGCTTGTTTATCTGACCTTAATCTCATTTGCTTGGATCATGTTTATGTTAATGTGATACATGTAGTAAAACTTTATATTTCGGACTATCAACATAAAATCAATGGTTAGTAAAGGAGGCGTGACATTTCAGCGTGTGTACTCTTGTTTATGTGGATGTACAGTTATAACTTTAAAGGCAATACTCTGTTCATGTGTACCATGTGATGCGATTTTATGTGGGGTTTGTTGTTTTTTGGGGAGGGGTATAAATATCAACCAAAGATTCTTACTGTATTTAAATTCTTTTGGATCAACCTTCTGCCCAGTGTCTAAAATTTGAGACATATGGGTGCTGATCCAGGATTTTGAAAAGGGGGGGGGGGGGGGTCCCATTGCAAGCCAACGTTTTGCGTGATACTTGTAAAAATTCTATGCATTTATCATATATGAAGCTCTGTAAGGGGGCCGGTCCCCCTCCCCCTAAATCCGCTTCTGCATATATTTGAAGGTTTATTTGAAGTCAGCAACGTAATACAATATGACAAGCTGACCAAATGGAATTACATATTTCTTGATTGTGACCTTTTGACTGTGCAGCAAATCATTGCATAAATTGATGTTAACTTGCAGACAGCACCCTCGAGCTCCATGCAGTTCATTTTGAGTTTGGGAATATACTGATGTAAAAGGTATACATCATTATTAAACCTGCTTTGTACTAAACCAAACTGTAAATGGCAATGTGAACATAAAAATAAATCAGTTAAGCATGAAAAGTATGCCAAATTTGAAAAGTTTTGATTGCATGCTGTTCAGCTTATATAATCAACATAGCATACCACGGCCCCAAAAAGACTTGAATAGGCCGTTAATTTTTAAAAAGAAAATCTCGGACTTAGCGTACATACATACAAATAAACATGATCTTTTCACTATTTGATATATTAACTGTCATGTCCAATAAGAAAATTAGTCAAACTAATCTACTTCTTTCTAAGAAATAAACAATCGTGTAAGATATTATCGATGTCATTATGATTTAAAATTTCCCATTTAGAACTTCCGATTTCTGTGTAGCAACAATCCAGCTGCTAACAAGCTAACTAGTGAACCAAGGGTTCCAAATATCGTAAATTTTACGGACGCCATCACAATTACTGACGGGTGCCACTAGTGAAAAAGGGTCTTCTTATCTTTCTGAACAACTCAGTTCTTCCACTGTTTTGTTCGAATTGCTCAATCTTTAGATTTCTATGTCAGTGTTTTGTGGAAATATTTTTTCTTTTCGTGAATTTTCGTTTTGGTTATGGTATTGTCCGTTTTTCTTTTATTTATGAGTTTTTGTTGCCCTTAATAGCTGAAGCTCTCCACCTTTTGGTAAGTGATCTACTCTATTTATACTATATAACCAGATATAAAACTGGTAGATATGTTGGGTCGATTTCCTAAATTTGTTTTATTGGTGCTTTTTTTAAATAAAACAAAATAAAAATTAGTTCAGTATACTGGAAAAATGCAATAACATAAAAAATGGGAACTTAAATGAAAAAAAAGTAAAACTAGCTATTGTCACGCCAATGCTATGAATATATAAACTATTAATGGGTTATGCTCTGAAAAGGACTTTAAATAAAGGAGTTGATGTTGACTTTTTTATGTTTTTTACTACATTTTTATGTGCGCATGTCTTTGTAGTTTGATCTTTGTCTTTCAGGGTTGTCTGGGAAATAAAAAATCCAAATAAACAGTCTTCAATGTATTTTATGTACATTTTATAATCGCTTTAAGCACTAGACATCAGATATGCTTTTGGATTATTTAAAGTTAATTGGAAAGTCAAAGACGAATGCCTAAATGGTAAGAATATATAACCAAAAGGTTCCCGCAAAGAATAATAAAAACATCTTAAGTTAACCTTGCCTGAGGTAGTTTTACCCTAAATTTTTGTAGAAGTACTAAATTTATCAACTGAGAATTTATAAACAAACTATGTAATAAATTGCGAGTAGAATGGTATGTGCAACTCATGCATAATAGTATTATTATAGTGTTGTTTTTTTTTAAGTTCTACAGTTCAACACATTGGAGATGAAGTTTAATTTTATAGACAATGCATATTTATCATATTTGTTGCGAACGACGGTACACATAGTAAACAATACGGAATGTCTGTTATATAAATCATTTACACAAGCTGGTATATTCCTATCACACACATATCTTCATGAGCTCATTGACGTAAACCCCACATCTACATTTAGCCATTAAATTGAGAAAGGAAATGAGGAATGTGTCAAAGAGACAACAACCCGATCAAAGAGCATAAAACAGCCCAAGGCCACCAATGGGTCTTCAACACAGCGAGAAAATCCCGCACCAGAAGGCGGGCTTCAGCTGGCCCCTAAACAAAAATGTGTACTAGTTCAGTGAAAATGGACTAAACTGCGAAACATATAAATGCACTAGAATTAAAAAATACATACAAGACTAACAAAGGCCAGAGGCTCCTGACTTGGGACAGGCTCAAAAATGCAGCGGGGTTAAACATGTTATACATATATCTTACCACAGTAATTTCACATCTTTCGACTTCTGGACTACTGCATCTGTTAACTAATTCATAGCGACATCCTGGGCCACGTTTTGGTTTTGAAGGGTTACGAACACCGTTACCACTAGGTCCTGGTTGAGGTGAGGATGAACGGGAGGGGGTCCGATGACCGTCAGCGGGAGGTTTTTGAATGCTACCATTACACACAATAACTTTAGCATTGTTCAGAATGGGTTTGGAATGTGTTTCTTGCATCGGTATGAATTCTTTAAAGTCCTTTTTAGAGGACTCATGTTTCCGCTTGGTATATAATCCAAACGTCGAAAACGATTTTTGAATACTTTTCGAAAGTAGTTTAGCTCTACTTTCCCTTTTTGGCGAATTGTCCTTGCTAGTTTTGCTACTACTTAAAGAGTCCCGCTTTGGGGAGCTCTCTTTTGACACGTCACCATTTATCTTCTTTGGTGAAGTTTCTATCGAAGACATCGACAGATCACCATTTGCATTATGGTGAAATATAGTTCCATGGCCATTTTTAGTTTTAAATGGCTTATCTCCCACCGCCGAAGCCGGTGGATATATTGAGATCACTTCAATTGGTTGTTCCGGTGGCCTTTCCAACTCCGGAACTTCTATAACTTCCGGTAAACTGTTGGGTAAACTAGTTGTAGTTACTGGGTATTCCAAAGCCAGTTGGTAGTGTTGAGAGGGAAACGAGTGTTCTGTAAAATAACAAAAAGTTTTATGAAGGCATACATAAAAAGATAAGATTGGGAATAATGTATCGAGTAATAACGGGTACCAAGTTCCAAATACCTTATTTCAGTAACATGAATACTTAAAATTATAATGGACGAACTACATGCCTTGTGGCATTAACCTTCATTCCATATACGTATTATATAGACAGTCAGTGACCTAATATGGTATATACACGGTCAATAAATTTTATATGATATGAGAGATTCGTCTTATATCGGTCAATGTCAAGAACGATAACTCTTTACACATCGTGTATTAAATATACACCACCAGCAAGTGACATCGCACAACCAATTAAATTCTCTGAAACCTACAGAAGGTAGGATATTATTATATATTTCACAAATATGAACGGTAAGCATCTCCCCTGTTGTGTTTAAACACACTAATGTTGCTAAATAGATCTCAGAAATAACATACCAATACCCATACCATTTTTACTCATATTTTTTATTAAGCTTGGATTACAATCAAACGCAATCAAGAAAACCTCTCAGTTGAGCCTCGACAGAGACTGAAAAATCATATTCCATGGCAAATAAGATATTCAAACTCTAAGCTTTCATTGTTTCAGTTTCAATTCGAGTGAAATGAGATAATATCTGCAAGCTTATAAACATGTCAATATTAATAGCACTTTTAATCATAATTCATACATCATTGATTGTTTGACCGTCACGTTGCATACGCTTACAATAGTCGTGAATTCATAAATAAATGACAAAGATGTACATAATGGTTAGTTTCTCATATGCACTGCTTTTAACAAAAAGCGCAAATACATAATAAAAAATAAAATAAAAAGGATTTTTTTTTTTCTGTTAATGGTCAAATCGTTTGTCTAAATATAAAATACACATTGTTGTGTGTTTGTATCTGAGTGTGGTTTTAGTTAATTATTGTTTTTAATCATTAATGAGGTTTTTTGGGGGGAAAAGGGGGGGGGGGGGGGGCGGTTCTATAATTAAAATTACATTTTAATGGGTATTTTTCGATGATAGAACTAATGCTGGAATTGTACATACAAATGATATGTTTGATGCGTCCGTTGTTGACATATATTTCCGAGTATAGCAAAAAAAAAGGTACCAAAGGATCAATCAAATACCGTTAGTCAAAGTAAGACATACAACACCATGGTGAAAAGAATTTAGTTACACTCCAATAAATCAAAATACATAACTTTCATGTACTTTTTGGAATTTATTAGTATCCAAATCTGATTCTGACTGCCCCTATAGAAGGTTGTTTCACAGCGGTCTTAGTTGCTAATGAAATAATGTTAGTAATTTGGATAAAGCTTTCATGGAGCATTTGGAAGACACCGCAACATAACGTTGGTTATAAGAACACTTATGTAATTTGGATTTTCAGTAGAATGAAGGAAGATTCAGCTCTTTGTCTTTGGAATATATAAAACAAACTTGTGATTATTGGGGATTTCCTCTTTAATGAGTGTCGTTGGAGTATACTGCATATAGCGATTCAATTTCGAAAATTCTTTTTTTATTTTATTTTTTGCGTTTAACCCTGCTCAGCCGGAATTGTAGGCTAGTTTTGTTTGCGATTTTCTAAATTTGCTGATGTATATAAAAGAGGCATAGGCGGATCAAGGGGGGTGATGATATAGGGAATCACTGAAGCATGACTGGAGCCCCCCCCCCCTCCCTTATGAAAAGTTCTGGATCCACCACTGAGAGTGATATGTAAAGCATCAACGCTTGTCATGATATATTCGCAAAGATTTGAATTCATGATTGTTCTACATGCAAATTAATAGCTCGCGAAAATAAGTTTGCAGAATGTTGGGTCATTAAGCAATTTATTCAATGTAATTTACACATTAAATGTACTCCGAAACTTCTTAGCATAGTTATCACAATGTTTCAAGTAACAAACCGACATAATGGTCGTTAAACATCCCCCTCCCTAGTAGTAGTAACAAACCTTGAATTAGATATAAATGGTCACTGTCTATTTTGTAGTTTATATAGATTGACTTCTATTTGTATATAAGGTCTATCTCGGCTAGTGATTTGCATGTCGGGGCGTACTGTTTTAGATGTCATTTGCCGTGTAGAGAAAAGAACAGTGAATAATTATGGTAATTCAGTTCGTCAATACGTGGGATATTAGATAATTCAATTTCTAAATTAAAGTTTTTACTACAGACGAATCAGTCAACAAAACAATATATATCTGGGCGACGTATTACCATAAGGACAATCAAGGTCATAAGGACAATCAAGGTCACAAGAGAATGCAACTATTTGTTGTGACGGAAATCATGATAAAATATCCACTAAACCAAACTGAAATGATGGAACAATTTTATCTAGGAAACTGGTCATACGGATTTTACATAGCTGTTGTTCATCAGAATTATGTCATTCAAAACATTCTTGATATATGTAAATGAACTTTTTTTACTATTTTGATGAGACTTTTCTTATGATTTTCGAGTAATTAAGTGTAAGTGTGATGCGAGGATAAAACAAAGAAAATACTTTTTTTTTTGCAAGCCAAAAGCTTTTTTGGAGTAACTTTTATATGGCGTTTTTTAATATAATGTTCTTGAGTTGCGTTAGTCAAAACACCTCGGTAGCTTTAGGAGCATAAATACACCAAAGACCGAGACAGAATAGAGGAACCATTCAATTCAGTGATTTGCAACCTAAATTCAAGTCATAAGTCAAAACATAAAATTAAAGACGGTTACAAAATTCTATTAGAAATATCACAATAATTTAAATTGACAAATTCACTATTTTTTTCTTGTAGATCTTGTCTTGCAGAACATTTTGCTATGTACAGGTCTCTATATATATCACGTGGCCGAGTGCTATAATAGTTCAAAACCAGTGATTACTTGCCTGTCAACACTGAGCTTGTGAGTTCAAATCCCACTCATGGCAAGATGTGTTTGACTCTGATCTTAATTGACTAGGATTGACAGTTTTCTTGCCGATGTTTGGTGGTTCCCTCCGGGTACTCTGGTTTTCTCCCACGAATGACCACCTTGATAAATCCAAGAGTGCCGAAATTTGCGTAAATCTCCACCATTCAATCAATCTCTATCTATCACAGATTTCAATATAATTGCCAAATACGCCAAAAAAAGGTGTAAAAATCATTATTCAATCAATAACTGCTATAGAAGTCGATCGCTAATTTCGGTTTTGGCATTGCATAAGATTATGCTTTTTTTCTCTGGATGCGTATGATGTCTTTACATTCCGTTTAAGGTATACTGTATAACAATGTAGTCTGGGAGAACCTGATTTGTTTATTAGTTAAATAAGGCTTTTGTCATATACATATGTTATATATTGGTCTAGGTTAGCTAATAAAATAAAAAAAATTGGTATACGTAATATTTACAGTAACCAACCTACACAAAACAAAAACTGTGGTCTTCAACAATGGACAGGTGTTTTGAATTTTAAGGACTGCTTGATAAAAATGATATTATCCCATTATAATTAGCCTAAAGTAAGAAAGAATATTGCTATGCTGGATTTTAAGAACAACAACCACGCTTAATCACAAAAAGGACACATGCACTGACGACAACTGAATTGCATATTTTTTTCCTAAACATTAAACGTTGGTAAAATACGTCCCAAAGACTTGATTTCAAGTATTGCTTTTTGTATTTTCTAGGGTAGGGGTTAAAAATGAATAACTTGGCCAGGTAAGAACTTAAATAAATATCGTTGTACAAGAAAGGATGAAAATTAATATTCTGCAACGCAAAATACAGAAAATAAATGTGTACAAAAGTGAAAATAAAATTTCGCGAAAAATTAACTGCGTGGCAAAAGATGAAAATAGACGATCGATCCCGAACTCAATTTATCACCCGTAAATCATGTTTCGTTCGATCGGACGGACGTCCAAGGACACAAAATATATGCTTCTGATTTTTTTGAGGGCATAAAAACACGTTATATAAAAAGAGGTCATTACGAAGTAGTCGGTAAACACACTTCAGTCTAACATTATAAAATACGTTATTATCAAAGATCAAATTTCTTGAATTATTAGTCTAATAACATAACTTTGATATTGCTGAAATCGGCGAAGAAATTGGTAGTGCTGGATTTCCCAAGAGTTATCCGAGATTTATTACCAACTGATAAAATGACATAGAAGGAAGTTATATAATATGGTGATATTGCAGTTTTATAATACTGAGAAAGATCAAGTGTACAAAGGTAAAGGTAACATATTATTGGCAAAGTCTTATGATTGAAACAAAAATTCTATTATATATATTCCCTACTTGGTAAAGATGCTTTGTATGGAAAATTGTAGGTTAAACCAGATTTGATGGTGACAAAAATTCTACGATTATGACAGTCTTTGAAAATTCCATCCGTTGACACTTCAAAGAAAATAAAAACATAGTACCTTAAATTATCACGTGAAAACAAACTTCAAGTTATTAAAACATCGACTGTGTCTGCACTCTTGACCTTCTAGTATTGTCACAAATCTTGTTTGATAAGCATTACAGAAATATATTTTGGATGCATACATAAATATCCAACATAAGCAATTCGTCAAAGAATTTTAAAGTATGACATTGAATCTGCTGCATGCTGACATTGTACTGAATTCTACAATGATAGCTCATGACTCAGTACATCTCTTTGAATATAGATTTAAAAAAAAAACTAATATATTATGAAATTTAATTTCAAATATTGATGCTTCTCTGCTATTTTGAGACTATTGCTAAATCTTCTTTTCTCCATGGTTTGAAATAACATTTTAATATTGTAAAACCATGCAGGTAATGTCTTAATCTCTAATGAGCTCTTCATTTTGTATTCTCAAATTATCCATTCGGTGATCCCAGGCTTCTAATTATCTTAACATGTTATCCAATCAATGCTGTAAGTTTTCGTTTGTTATTAGGTCTGTACCGTATGTTTTAATGCTACATTTTGTCTAA